TTACCGGTCACCAACTGCAATATCCTAACATTGATAAATATTTTAACAAAATGGCTGTTGAAACAACTAATGTTAGTGCTTGATTAACTCAAAATAGACTTAATTAAGATTGACGAAAAATTCTTTTATCTGAAATCGGCAGTAAAGTAGAACTTTACTGCCGATTTATTTTAATTTACGATTGTTGACTTCTTTACTGCCGATTTCGGATAAAATAATTTTTTGTCAATCTTAAGTCTATTTTTAGTTAATCAAGCACTAACATTAGTTGTTTGAACGGCCATTTTGTTGAAATATTCATCGATGTTAGGATATTGCAGTTGGTGACCGGTAACTTATGTGACATTTGCAACATAAAGCCTGCATTTTAGGAAAAAATTAATAGATTAGGGTTGTCATAATTTAAGTTCCCATTACCTTGAAATGCTACATGCTTATTACACTAAAAAAAACCTTGAGCGAGAATTAGTTTTCACAAAAATAAGTGGATACAGCATCGGAACAAGTTATATGAGAATTGACCAAATAACAATTTATTTCAAACATCACTCAAAAGTTTCTTGCTTAAAGAATGTGTTTATGAAATAACAGACTTTATTAAATAAAACTTTAGGCCACACCTAATTCTACACCTTATTTTTACATCTGTCTTTCATGTATGTACGTACTTTGTATTATTTATATATTAAGATTTAGCTATAGTCATGTTATTGTTCTTTTTTTTTTTGACCTGTCATATCTATATTGTATACTGTATAGCTTGTATGACCAAAATAAATGAAATGAAATGAAATGAAATCACTATTTTTTTTTACTCAATAAATCTATTGAGTTAGTGTTCTTGTAATTGTAACATTTTCAATACTTTTGTTTTGTGTATAACTTATACAGTATAAGTATAATTAAACATAAGGTTTACATGATGTTATTATTTTAAGTTCTATAATAGGAATTTTTTGTTATTTTTAAATTAGTACCAATGTTATTTGAGTTTTGTAATTTAAAAATTGTATTTTTGTTTTGGAGGTTAAGTGGAATAGCCCTAGCTAGACTTCGCCTCATTAAATAAAGACGTTTTATTTATTTATTATTTATATTATTATTTATATTATTTTAGTTGTTGTTTTATATTGGCTGTAACAGCCAACAGTTAAATTAAATTTTTTGTTTTTAGTTGCAAAAGCAAAAATATATGATGTTTATATTCATAAACTACATTTTACATTTCTATACATACTAGAACTAAAAAAACTTGTTATTGTAATAGCAACTTTCATTGAATAGAATAGAATTGAAATACCAATTTAGATATTTATAAAATTTTAAAATTAAAATTAAATTAAATCAAGTATAGTCACGGCCAAATCTATATGGGTGCACGTCATCAATGAGATATAATGACGTCAGCATTACCAACTTTGAATTGTAAAGTTACTGCCGTTAAATTTGCTTTTTTAAGGCGTAATTCTGATGTGTTATTAAAAAGAAATCATTCATTTGCGTATTGTTTACCAAAAACTGTAACAATTTCCTTGTTTTAAAACGTTTTTTCACTAAATTATCAAAATAAAACCATTCACTTAGTAATTTTTGTGTGTGCCAGTTGGTAAAACCTTAAGGCTGGCGCGCACCGTTCAATATTATTGATGGGTCGCTGTCATTTTATATTTGACGTATTTTTGTAATTGTGACATTTCGTACGGAAGCATCGTTTGTTGCAAATTATTATAAATAATATTATACATTATGTTTATAAGATTCTATCCCTGGATTGTGCAAACAATGATATAAGGCTTGTTGGCAACTAGCCGTTATTAGATTTCGAAGACATTGCGCCCTTAATAATAAATTTGGGGAAATAATCAGACTTCAATTCTGACTTGGTTTGCTCTGATGACAAGGACGACTGGTAATTTATTATTTTTGTGTTTCTGATAATTAAGTATTTTTTTGTTATGTGCATATGTAATAAAAATGTAATAAACTCCGTTTGTTTTCTCTTTAAACACATTTAATAAAAATTTGCCTGTAACAAACTCCTAATTAGTTAGTGCAGAAGATTATAACAAGGATGTTATAATTCCATCTTAATAACAGCCCCCACCGCTATAAACAGTCAACAATACACGAGCGTTAGATTGTGTCTGGGCACGTATGAATAGACCTTAACGCTGACGTCATATGCCGTTGATGACGTGCACCCATACAGATTTGGCCGCGACTATAACTTTGAATTTTAAACATATATCTTTAATTCTCTAAGCAGAAAATAGAAAAAGATATAAATATCCAAATTTTGATATATGTATATTGGATATATATCAATATACATATATCAATTATCTTATATATTTATATAAATATGATATTTGTCATCCCTGATTTTATGTCCATTTTTTTGTTTGAATGTGTGTGATTGCGTCATCAATTGCTGAACCAAACAAAGACATTAAAATGTGTAGCTGTCTTTTTTTTTCTTTGTAAAAGTTCATCTGAAATTCTAAAACGTATCGGGATCCGCTAAACCAGCAGATGGCGACACAATTAAACGTAATTTACGACAAACGTGAATCCGATGTCGCGCTCACGCGGCTTGTTCTGAAAAAGGACAGAGTGCGTATAGTTTGTTGTGGAATTGAGCCGAAATTTATCAAAATTTGAAGGTTAGTCAGTGGCGTTCATACAGTAATTTGACATTAAAGAACAGATTTTAGAAGTTTGAAAGGTTTTAAAAAATGTCTTGCAAACGTTTGGACGATAACCAAAAACGTTTTATTATTAAATTAGTTCAATACTTTCAAAGGGAACTGGAGCATGGGGTCCCCTGCTCCCACTAAACTGTGTCCAAGAGGTAAGCTATGTTAGGCTTGTTTCTACTGAGCATGTTTACTTTAGGGTCAAAGACATGTGCAATAGTAAAATCGCATGCGCAATATGAAAATATAACCGCTATTTCACTACAGCGCATGTCTCTGACCTCCATCCGAGAATCCAAATGCTTGGCGGGAATAGTTTGGCAATGGACCAAAAACAACTTCCGATTGCAGCGTGTGGCGAATGCCTTTGGCATTTTGATTAATACAGTGGGCAATGCTTTGCGGAAAGCACAAGCATTAGACGAGGCCCCAGCCCAACCTTCTGGCAGCAAAACAAGGGCCAAGTTTCCATACTCACGTCGTAAAATATTAAAGACCTCGGATTTACCAGAAGCCTCAAAAATGGAAACAAGGAAGACAGTTTATGACATGTATGCCGCAGGTTGGTTTATAGTTATTTAGGTCACAATGACCAACAATAGTGGTTCTGCATTGATGTGTTTCATTTGTAGGAAAGCACTTAACCCTGAATACTCTTAACGAGCAGCTCAAATTAAAGGAAATTGTTGACATAAGCAGAAGTTCTCTGTACAGCTTGCTTCAGGAAATAGGTTTTATGTATAAAAAGCATAATAACAGAGTTGCTTTAATGGAGCAGCAGGACGTGATGTTTCGCAGGGCCGAATTTCTACGGCAGTACACCCTGAACGCTAACTCCAAATTTAAACGCTAAGTTGTGTTTTTAGATGAGACTTGGATTTTTTCAAAAGGCTCATGTAAACGTTCATGGCAGGATGGAACAGCGAAGGGGGTGCGCAGGCCATGAGGGTGGTTTTGTTGATAACGCCTCCATCATTTTTGGGACTAAATCGAAGCTGGCAGATTACCACGGGGACATGAACGGTGAATTATTCGAAAGGTGGCTAGCTGAAAAGTTGGTGCCAAATTTGAAGGAACCTTCACTGATTGTGATGGACAACTCTCCTTACCACAACGTCGTTGTTGAGCGTCACCCTACAAGTGCTTGGAAAAAACAGCAAATAGAAGAGTGGCTAACAGAACAAAATGTTCAGTTTATCAAAGGTATATTTAAAGCGGAATTGCTGTTCCTGGCACGCTACCACACCCCGCCTAAGCGTTACAAAGTTGATGAGTACCTCCAGCAGCATGGGCATGAGGTTTTGCGTCTGCCTCCATATCACTGCCATTTCAATGCCATTGAACTTATATGGGCGCAGGTACATACATAAACAATTAGATGGGCGCTTGCAACAACGAATTCTGTTTTAGGCTAAAACATATTATGATTCCCACATGGGGGAAGACGGCTATGGCGACAATAAAGTGCTAGCAATGTGGGGCCAAGCACTGAACCAATGCACGCCAGAACGTGGGTGTTCAGTAGTGAGGCACACCAACAAATTAATTGACGATTGGTTTCAAAAGACAAGGATGGTCGATGACGTGCCAGAACTAGTTATCCACCCCGGAGAAGACAGTTACGACGAGGATGACTTTTAGTAATTTTGTTTTCGTTCTCCTATAACATTTTATTTTATTAATTAATGTTTTGTCTTAATTAACTTATAATATATTATATGTATGTACATAATATTATGTACAAAAATTGTGTACCTTTATTGTTATTCGTTTATAAAACTTGCATAATTTACATTAATAAAGTCAAAATAAATTCGAACTAATCATTGGAATTATTATTTAATTGGGTGTAAACTGAGTTGCGTAACTATGAGGCGATATTAGGCAACCAAAAATACACCCACAATAAATGCTTAGATCCCTTCAAAATGATACGCTACTGACTCTAAATTTAGTTTCGGTTTAATTCATACGACCCAATTGATGACGCAATCACACACATTCAAAAAATACAGTGTAAGTTATAAATATATTTGTATTTTCTGTATTTATTTTCCCAGACAAGTTGTAAGTTACTTGGGCTACTTTGTATTTATTTTACCAATTATTTTATTCCATTTATATTTAATTTTGTAGGGTTTATGTGGTGAATAAATATTATTATTATTATTATTATTATTTATATCTATTGCCTACTCAGTATCTTTGTAAAACACATATTTATAAGTTAAATGCAAAAAAATGTGTAGTATAATTCTGCATTACATGAAAAATAATTAAACATGTTACTTGTATTTTTTGTAGGTTTAATGTACCGCCCCCACCTCCTCCCTCGCATAAACCGGAAGCGGAAGCTGGACAAAGATTCACAGTGCCTCCACCTCCCCAACATTCGCCCACCAAAAGTGATTATCAACGTCACAGTAATCAGCAAAGTGCGACTAGTTCTCCTTTCAGTAATAGAAGCTTTGGACAAAGTCCTGGAATGTACCCATATTACAATAGAAGGTAAATCCAAATTTTGAAATGTCAACGCAAAAGTTGTTTTACCATGATCTATAATGCTTTTTCTTTAATGAATTGTTTCGACTTTTACTTGATGAAACTTCAAGTTGATATAATGCTAATATAAACTACACTGTTTAAAAGTTTCACTATTTTATTTAAATATGACAATTGTTTCGCTACACAGTAGCATCTTCAGATCGTATACAAACTAATATTAATTTTCTATTTATATAAATGATGGTTTTACAGCTAATATTTTTAGTACAATATTGGGGGTAGATTAAATTAGCGTTATACGCTAAAGAAGTATCGCTATTAGCGCCACCACTCGGCTGTTATCATCGTAACATCGTAAGTAGTACTTTTAATAATCAGCTGTCGAACGCTTATTTTACAAACGAGTGTTTTTGAGAGTAAAGCCGGAAAATGTTAAAAAATATCGAAAAAAAAACTGTGGCTCGATTTGTTGTGTTGTTGGGTGTATTTCGAGAGGAAATCCTGGCTTGAGTTTTTACCGGTTTTCCAATAAACAGTGTTAATCTGAATGAAGAAATAAATTGCACTAAGTCTCTGTAAATATAAATTGTACCTATTAGATACAATAAATACACATTTTAGTAGTGATTAACGTGAAAAGGGTAAAGATTTCAATTCAGTAAAAATCGTCAAACAAATAAGTCGTCTAAATTTAAACAGCATTTAGCACTATTAAAGCGTTGATTAAAAAAGTCTCCACTCAACAGTAAAATACCATTATATTATTTATTATATATTGCCATGAATTCGTAGGTATATTTTTTGTTCAAACTGCAGTTGTCGGCGTTTTTTAGAGAACTCAAATATAAAAATGGTTGATTTTAAGGTTATGTTTGTGCAAAAATTCACCATGATCCCTTAGATAAAATACACACACTAACATAACTATATAAGCATTTAAGCGTTGAGTTTCTTAATCAATGATATAAGGAATAATCAATCAAAATCGAGTACTAAAAAAGTTTTTTAATATTTCCTTGCAACGTAAAACACAAATAACGTGCGCGATTTAGCTGTGCAATTGAACAAAATTTGTCGAGTAAGACTTCTGCCTTCCCCTCTTTTTTGAAAAAACTACCTATTTAAAAAAGATGTGCAGTTCGTATGCTTTAAATGTATTGTTGACAATTCTTAAATTCACGCAATACTATCGAAGCCCACCAGATGGCGCGCGCGTTGCGAAAACCCGATACTTCTTTAGCGTATACAATAAAGGAACAATAATTATGGGAATGCACTGTAATCTTTATCGTTATGTAACATTATACTTTTTGAATATATTAAAATAAGTTTAATAGCGGGGAATGCTTTTTCTTTGTATTTATTATGGTGAACATTAACACTTAACACTACGTATAATATGCATAATACAGGGTGTTTAAAACATGTGTCGGAAAATAAAGGATGTGATTCCTTGACTAATTCCAGGAAAAAAATGTTCTATTAACATGTGTCTGCAAACACCGTTTTCGAGATACAGGGTGTCGAAAAATGATTGTTTTTTTTTGTTTTTACACATCTTATCAATAATATTAGCTACTTTTTTAGTCCCAATTCAATTTTTTTATATGTCAGTGGCGGAGATCTAAGGGTTGTGTGAGCTTTTTTCGACCCTAATTTCTTTAAAACTGTTGATATTGGCATTTTGAAAGCACTTTTTAAACTGCAAGTATTTTTTACACTTAAAAGTAGAGATGGGAATCGCCAAGGCCAAGAAACTTTGAATAAGAATTTAATGTGTGTTAATTTAAAGCAGAAGAAGACGTATAAATAATGTAAGTTATGTTACATAACCTCAATGAAGCCGGATTATTCAGCATCATCACAAAAAACTTTTTTAAAAAAAGGTAAACAAAATAAAAACAATAAACAAAGTTAAAATCATTCTTAAATTTTTGTTGTTTATTTATAGGGATAGCACAATGCCAAGAGAAAAATCTAGTGTTTGGAATTATTTTTTACTTTTCAATATTCCTATAGGTAGGTATATTAGTTACTTTGTCCCTTTTAATTTTTTTTACGTAATATCTAGGATTTACTAGCAGTGAATTTCTAATAGTAAACATTTTATTTTTATTTTGTAGGTTTCAGTATACAATAGGAATATTCCAAAGTAAAAGATACTAAAAATAGTATTGCAGTTACATTCTTATAAACATTTTTTTTTTCTTAATAAAATTTGACAAAAAGTTAATGTATTATATATTTTTGCAAATCCCTGGCATAAAAAAATATTTTCGCAATATTTTTGAAACTTTCGGAAAATTTCGGGAATTTTCGATGGAAAGTTTCCGGGAATTTTCGTTAATTGGGAATTTTCCCATCTCTACTTAAAAGGTACTCTTGGTCAAAAGCTCTAGCGTGAACCATTTTAGAGAAAAACGGCATTTTATGATAAAAAAAAGTAGCAACATTACCACAAAAGTTTTATTTTACATAACTAAGATTCTTAGTCTAAGAACATAACATAAAAACAAGAAAAATTACAACAATTGTTGAAAATGCCCTCCTTCTACAGTAATACAAGCTTCCAACCTACGTCTTAGTGACTGACGTACCCGTTCAAAAATGTAATATAAAACTTTTGTAGTAATGTTGCTACTTTTTTTTCATCATATAATGCCGTTTTTCTCTAAAATGGTTCACGGTTTGTATGAAAAATACTTGCAGTTTAAAAAGTGCTTTTAAAATGCCAATATCAACAGTTTAAAGAAATTAGGGTCAAAAAAAGCTCACCGAACCCTTAGATCTCCGCCACTGACATAAAAAAAATTGAATTGGGACTAAAAAAGTAGCTAATATTATTGATAAGATGTGTACAAAAGCTTAGTTTTAAATCTCAAACGTTTTCTAAGATATTGTTAAAAAACAATCATTTTTCGACACCCTGTATCTCGAAAACGGTGCGTTTGCGGACACATGTTAATAGTGTTAGATTTTAATAAAATAGCAGATTATATTTTAACAGTTTTTTAATATTCGACTGACTGATTTATTACATATTTTATTATTCCACATTTCCTTCAACTGTTTTCTAACCTTATACAATTTTAATATTAATTACCTATTTTCAACACCCTCTCTTAATTAATATTAAAATTTAAAAAATCTAATTCTAATAAAAATTACCCCTATTCTCTAACACCCTCTCCTAATTTTTATTAACATAAAAAAATTAACAACTACTCTATTCTAATAACATTTTCTTAAACTTCACAAATTTGTTTATAGCTAATGGTTTTGTTAAGATATCAGCCACTTGATTTTCAGAAGCACAATATTCTAGCTTAATTAAACCTTCATTAAACTTTTCATTAATAAAATAATACCGCACGTCGATATGCTTCGATCTTCTATTCATCTGACCATTTTCAATCAATTTTAATGCACTCTGATTATCAACTTTGAGTGTTATCTTAACTGTTTTATCAATTAATTCTTCTATTAGATATTTTAAATACATCGTTTCTTTGATACACTCAGCTGCTGAAACATATTCAGATTCTGTACTAGATACAGTTACAATAGGCTGTCTACGTGAACACCATGCAATTGGTCCACCACAGTAAAAAATAACAAACCCACTTGTACTTTTTCTTGTACCTATGTCTCCTGCAAAATCAGCGTCACAGTAAGCTGTTAATTCTGTTATATCTGTATTGCTTTTAAATTTTAATCCTTGATTGGGGTATGTTTTTAGATATTTCAGGACTCTCTTTATATTATTGACATCTCGTTCTGATGGTTCTTCCATTTTTCGACTACTATAGTTCACCGAAAATGAAATATCTGGTCTCGTTCGATTTGACAGATACAGCAAACTACCAATAACTTTTCTATATGGATATTTCCTATTCTTCGAAGATTCATCTTTTGTATTATCATTTAACATAGGAATTTGGATTGGTTTTGAATCTTCTAACTTATATTTGTGCACTACTGCCTCTGCATATAATTTTTGTTTTAACATACCCGGACAACAATCGGGATTTCCTGGTGAAGTCATGATGATATCACAACGTGATTTTTTTTTATCACGCTGTGATATCCTGAGTGCATACACATGCTTCATCACAGTGATATCATGTAGAACTCACGGTGTGATATTTGCAAAATTTGCACATGCGTATGAGCCCTGCGAACTGCGAATTTAAAACCTACCCGGACAACATTCGTGATATTCACATCGTGATTTTCACAAATTTTATTCATACTGATATCATACGGAATTCACCGCGTAATAAATGAAAATCATACGAACGTCACGTCGTGATTTTCACAAATTTTATTCATACGGACATCATCCGGATGTCACTGCGTGAGAAATGAAAATCATGTCGTGATTTTTTATGCCATTGCTGTTTGCGATTGACCGATGGCCTAAAAAATCATGTCGTGATTTTTTATGTCAACGGTGTTTGGATAATCATTTTTGCGCCACGTTCGTAAAGTAAGAGAAAAATTTTGTTGAATCAACAGTGTTTGCGGTTAAATACATTTAATATTTTCTTGGATTTAAATTAACTATATATAATTAATTTAAATCCAAGAAAATATTGAATGTTAAACTGTTGATTCAATTGTTAACATACTTTTCCTTTCAATGTACGAACGTGGCGCAAAAATGATTATCCAAACACCGTTGGCATAAAAAATCACGATTTTTTGTGCCATCGGTCAATCGCAAACAGCGATGGCATAAAAAATCACGACATGATTTTCATTTCTCACGCAGTGACATCCGGATGATGTCCGTATGAATAAAATTTGTGAAAATTACGACGTGAGGTTCGTATGATTTTCATTTATCACGCGGTGACTTCCGTATGATATCAGTATGAATAAAATTTGTGAAAATCACGACATGATGTTCGTATGAATATCACGAATGTTGTCCGGGTAATACTATCACTATTTTTAACAATTTCTAGTCCCAAATAATCAACTGGATTTTCACATTCTGTCATTTCAAATTCATTCTTTAATAAACTCAATAGCTCTTCTACTTGTTTTTCATACTCCGAACTATAAAAAATTATTCCATCATCAACATATATTCCCAAATATAATGATTCATTGTTGGTTTTAAAAATACATCGTTCAGTTTTTAAAGAAAATAACCCAATACTTTTAAGATAAGTAGTAAATATTTTATTCCACTGTAATGGGGCTTGCTTTAAACCATATAATGATTTTTTTAGTAAACACACTTTATTTTTATTTTCTTCATATCCCTCAGGCAGTTTCATAAACACTTTTTCTTTTAAATCCCCGTATAGAAACGCAGTTTTTATGTCAAATTTTCGGATCTTATAACTTTTGCTAGCAGAAATCGCAAATAATACACGCAAGACATCTATGTTTACTACTGGACTAAATGTTTCTTTGTAGTCTATACCATAACTTTGCTCACAACCGCGAATCACTAGTCGAGCTTTATATCTTCCGTCACTTTTAACTTTAAAAATCCATTTGCTTGTCAAAATTTTTTGTTTATCAGTTTCTGACTTATCAACCAAAACCCATGTATTGTTTTTCTTAAGTGAATCTTTTTCTTGTATAGCTTTTAACCACTCCTTCTTATCTGAACTTTGCACTACCTCTTCATATGTTAGTAACGACAAATCATAATCTTCGAGATAACTTGGCCGTACAACTTTCCGTATTCTCTCTCCTATTTCTTCAATTTCTTGAACATCTTCAAAATCATAATTTTTACTAGTTTCATTTATATTTTCCTGAATAACTTCATTATTTTCTTCATCATTTTCTAAAATAATTTTGACATTTGTGTCAAATTTTTTTAAAATTTCTTTCCTTTCTGTAAAAACTACATCTCTTGAAATTATTACTTTTTGTTTTTCTTCATCTAATAATCTATAACCATTAAGTGCATAACCTATAAACACATATTTCTTGCTTCTTCTATCGAGCTTTTTTAAATGACCCAATACTTTGGCATATGCGGTACTACCAAAAACTTGAAGTTTTGACAAATCTGGTTTTCGTCCTGTCCAATTTTGTGTTGGTGTATTCTTTGTCAAAGACGACTCTGTTGGACTACGGTTAGTTAAATACGCAGCTACACGAATAGCTTCTCCCCAAAAAATATTACTCAATCCACTGTCAAATAATAACGCTCTAGTTTTCTCCACTAAAGTTCTGTTTAACCTTTCGGCTCTTCCATTAAGCTCAGGTGTATGTGGAATTGTGTAATCTAGTCTTATACCTCTTTTTTTACAAAATAATTTAAGATCTTCATTCACATACTCTCCTCCTTTGTCACATCTAATTTTAGAAACTTTTATATTATGATATGCTTCAGATTCTGCAACGTATTGTTGTAGGTATTCTTTTACCTCACTTTTTCTTTCAAGTAAATATATTGTAGTAAAAGAGGTATAATCGTCCAAAATTGTTAAGAAATACCTTTTACCATCCCATGTTGAATCAATATAGCCACATACATCACTATGTATTATTTCTAAAGGTCTTGAGGCTCGCTGTCTTTTTGTTGAGAATGGAAATCGAATCTGTTTGGCTTCCAAACAATTTTCACATATTTTTTTAAAATGATTACAGTCACTTTTTGTTATATTCATTCCACTTGAAATATCTAATAACTTTTTTATATTGTTAACACTCAGATGTCCAAGTTTTCTATGCCACTCTTGTACTGATTTTTTAGTTTCTACTAGAAATGTCTCTTCTTTTGATGTATTTAGTTTAATCATGTAAAGTCCATTTTCTTGTTTTTCTCCACTAATTAAATTTTCGTTATTTCTTCTCACATAAACCTTATTTTTAGTAAAAGTTACTTGTCCGCCTTTTTCAGTTATTGCATTAACTGATAAAAGATTTTTGCTTAGTTCAGGGACATAAGATTATAAACGATTTTAAATTTCAAATCGATATTTTTTTCCCTTCCCCAGAAACTTCCAATAGACCACGAATGTGAAACACCCTATATATCAAGTGGTGTTTTTTAGGTTGTGATACCACTATAGATTTTAAAGCAATGTATAATCGTCAAACTAAAAGATCAAGATATATATTTAATATAAGATAAATATAAAACTGTTGTTTTATTAAAAAAAAAAATCAAAAATTAAAACCAGAAACATTTTTTTATACTTCTTTAAGTATAATTTTTGTATTATGTAAAAACATAAAATATTTTATAACAAAATAGATCAATTAAAATCTGTTTAGGTTAAAATAATAAGAGTGTCTGTGTAAAAAAATTAAATGACGTGATTTTGTGAAACGGTGAGACACGGGTATGTTTTTTAACCTTTATTTTTAAAATCTGTTAAAATTTTTCATGGGAGGAAAATCGTGTTGAAATGTGTAATACGACGTAAAATAATATAATTAAGGTAAACCTAATATTTTTAGGCTCTCATATATTTTTAAATAATAAAGGCAACATTTTTTAAACATTTCAAATATGGCCACACTCTCGATTTAAAAACATACCACCTCTATTGAAAAACCCTTTATATTATTCTCCATGATGTTGAATAAAAATTGTGTTGTTAAATGGTAAAACGGCTTGCCATACACGTGTATAATGATCGCGAACGCAAAATTGAGTTCGGCGCATTTCCCCTCCTATCCTTTGTAGAGATAAAGAAGGTATCTTTTTAACCCTAACTCTATTATTTTGTGCATCTGTCAAGCGTCAAACCAATGTCGTAAACATGGAGCCTACACAAGGAGCCCGAACTTAATACCTGCCCTCTAAATTGAGGAGCGATCAGACAAAACGAGACAAATCCATTTTAGTGATTTGCAGAAACAAGTCAAAAATAAAAGACTTCTTTTGCATTTAACTTATTTCTGAAAATCACTAAAATGGATTTATCTCGTTTTGTCTGATCGCTCCTCAATTGGACAAATTAAGTATTTTTTTCACCACCAGCGGCGCTGATTGTCGATGTTCAAAATGACCATTTACTTTAAGTAAATTGGCCTAGTGTAGGGGACAATCTATAACAATTTGACGAATGAATTTTCTAAAAAAACATCGCAAAAAGGTAAGGACTTATTTCTGAAAATCACTAAAATGTATTTATCTCGTTTTGTCTGATCGCTCCTCAATTGTAAAATTAAGTCTTTTTTTTCACCACCAGCGGCGCTGATTGTCGATGTTCAAAATGACCATTTACTTTAAGTAAATTGGTCTAGTGTAGGGGACAATCGATAACAATTTGACGAATGAATTTTCTGAAAAAACATCGCAAAAAGGTAAAAATTCGAAGAAATCAATTTCCAAAAAGTTCTTTTTTGCATATATTCATGCAACAACGCATCGGTGAGCAAAATTAGTTTTATAATAAATATAGCTCTTAAAATTGTCTGTATTTTAAAACTCTGTTGGCCTCTGTGCGATAAACGATTCGTAAGTTATTAAAACAAAAAGTTCGAGTTTTTTCAAGATGGCGGGCCAGCGCGGGGGTTGTTCGGATCAATCCGAAAACCAGAATATATACTATTCAATGTATGCTCTTTCGATAAAAAAAAATTAAACCGGTAAAAAGTATTTGGTCACGCTTTTACTGGCCTATAAGGCTAAACACTTTACTTGCTTTATTGCATTTTTGGAAATTACTTATTAAAGCTTAGTTTATACATGCTGATAAATGTTTGTATAAAATAGGCATAAAATAGTTTAATTTTTTTATTATTTATTAGATATAACAATCAATCAGAGCACATGTCCCCGCACCAATCGTACTATAAAAGAACAGGATCGGAATCAGGAGAAATGGAAACCGGCAGGCCAAAGAAAAAGAAAAAACAGGCACAGAAAGCGCAGGAAATTAAGTTTAAAGTGGAGGATTGCGAAAAAGCTCTCGCCCTGGAAAAACGTCTGGAAACTACAAGTAAAAATTCGTTAATCATAAGATTTCCGGATTTTGAAATTACTAGAGATATGGTGATGGATTATGACAGGAGTTCTATAAGTGGTGTTTATTTTCCCTCGCCAATTAGTCCTAGGATATGTTTTTTGTCATTAAATGTAAGTATGTTTTTTAATTAATGGACTATTAATTTCAAATGTTTATTATACCTCTCAGAAAATACAAAAATGTTGTATTGTTTTAAAAAATGTAATCCATATTTTAATTATTATTAATAATTAATACATGCATTTTAGTTTCTTAAACCGCTACTAGGTGGCGCTGCTACCGCAACTTGGTGGCGCTTCTTGTTGAGTATATTTTCAAGACGTATATTTTTAGGTGCTTATAAGCAACTTTCTACGCATTAAGTGAGGACCATAAAATTGACAACTGTAAACGGTCCTCACTAAATGCTAGGAATGGTTTGTTGACTATAATTTTAATTTGTCTGGTTTGATCTGTGCCAGAGTATTGATTCTTTAAGTAATCTGGCGGAAAACTGCTTTAACCTTTAACCGCTACTAAGTGGTTTGTTAGAGACCACTAGATATGTTTTTCCAAATATTATATTATTATTATAGATATAAAGTAATTGGCTAGACCAAAACATAGCGATTAGGTTATATTAGCTTCCCTTGTAATAGTGTCCACAAGTGGATTTTAACCAACTTATACTTAACCGATTGAGCTGAAATTTTGCACATACTTTAGGTGCTGAAGACAGTACAATTTAGTATAGGATTACCTTTCTCTTTACAACCCCCTTGATTTGGGTATCAAATGAAAGGTTTTGAAGATAAGGCGTTATACTAAATCCAATATGTCATCCGCTCCAAGATGGCGATTTATCTATTATTCACAACTTGATATGGGTATCAAATAAAAGGGCTTGACTAGTAGAAAACAATAGGGTGAGTGACGTCGAATCAAATCCAATATGGAGACCACCCCAAGGTGACAGAATAGGTACCTATTTCTTTACAACCTCCTTAAAATAAGTATCAAATGAAAGGGTTTGACAAAAAAAAACATAAATTAAATAAAGTCATACTAAATCCAAGATGGAAGATTGCCTTTATCTTCACAACCTTCCTGACATGGGTATTAATTGAAAGGGTTTGACGAATAAAAAACAATAAAGTAAGTGACGTCGTACTAAATCCAATATGGAGGCCGCCCCATGGGTGCAGAATACCTATTTCTTTAGAACCTCCTTGACATGGGTATCAAATGAAAGGGTTTGAAAAAAAATGATAAATTAAGTTAAGTCATACTAAATACAATATGGCGGCACCTTGCACGCGTTGGCCGAAAGAATTTTTTTTATTTTTAAGAATTAATTGAAAATGAAGACGATGAAGCAGTTTATATATGTCAGTTAGGCAATGCATAATATGCATTCATTAATTTTGAGGCAAAATATAATTTCGATATAGCTACAAACTCTTTTTGGTATAGTCATTGAAGTGATAGGTAATTTTATACAGGGTGTTTAAAAAACATGCGCCATTGCTCGGCTGGAGATTCGTCATCGAAAAATAGGAAAAAAGTTATATGACCTTAATAAACATAGTTTCGGAAATGTTTAGTTTTCAAAATATCTTAAATATCGTTTTCCCGATTTTGTTGAAATTTGGCAACGTTATTTATACTAGCTAAACTTTTTTTGCTATTTTTATATATTTTTTTATGATCAAGCCACTAAAAAACTTGTTGGTCTCCCAAGTTGTTTATTACCTCGTTTTTGACAGAAAAAATAAAACAATATTATTGCATGAAAATTAACAAAACCCATATTTTGCACCTTTTTTAAGCTAAACAAAAAATACTTCCTATTATTTTTTAATTAATCAAGGGGTTTGAAGAAAATTAACAAAAGCAATAAATAACGTTGCCAACTTTCAAAAAAACCTGGCAAACGATATTTAAGATATTTTAAAAAAGTTTTGAAAAAAATGTGTGTAATGTAAGTATCTTTAAAACTAAGCATTTCTGGCACTACGTTTGTATGAACTTTTTTCTTATTTTTGGATGACAAATCTCCAGCCAAGCACTGGCGTAAGTTTTTTGAAACCTTGTCCATCGGAACAAAATATTTTTAATTTAATTACATTATTTTGAAGTTTTTAGTGCTTAAAAGCGTGTTTTTTTGTATAAAAGAGCCGGTTTGTGTTTTATAGTTTATTTGAACTCTTTATTAATTCTTTATTAAGACAAAATCAAATGTATATATACCGTATGGGCCTATAGGCCTTACAAAAAATCAAAAACAAATGCAACACTAATAAACAAATCAAATGTTAAAAAAACTGAATAAAATAGTGTAGAACTATATTAATGTTCATAATTAATTATTATTAAACTAGCTATAGTTGGCTAACATGAAGATTATCGCGCCGCGACCGCAACTAATATTATTTAATTATTAAATTTCCGCCCAGTTTAGTGCTAGTTGTAAATTTTAAAAATTTTATCCAAATGGAATTTACTATAAAACAAGTGGTGATTCGGATATCCGGAAACCAAAATATTCTGAAGGCCTGTTAGGTCAAAAATTTTATCGAAATCGGATTTAGACATCTCAATTTACAATAAAACAAGTGGTATCCGTAAACCAATATTTTTTCAAGATCCTTTAGGTTAAACGGTTTTTTAAATATATTTATATATTTAGACATTGATTTACTCGGGCATTCAGAAACCAAAATTTAAAGTCAAACATTTTGTGTAAATCGGATTCAGAGACCTCGATTTACTGTAAAAACTAGGAAACTTTTCTTGTAATATAAAAAAAAGAATTAAAATAACCTATACAGTTAATTCTTACATTACAAATATTGTGTTTAATGTTTTTTCTGAAATATCTCAAAAATAAACAGAACGATTTAAAAAAAATACCGATTTATAGGGATTTTAAAAACCTTTAAAAAATGTATTACTCCTATATCTGCTGGGTGCAGGGTGGGTAACCAAATTTTTGAGCATTTATTACAATATTTTTTTCTATTATGTCTCCTAAGAATGTTTTTTCTAAAATATATTAAAAACGAACAGACTGATTTAAAACACCGTACGACTTCAAAGATCTTTAAAATGATGTATTACTCGATACCTATTCAAATTCTTAAGAGCGCAGAGGGTAAAGGTGGGAAACCAATTTTTGTCATGCAAAATTGTACCCCTGGATATTAAACTTTACATGTCTCGGCTTTTTTTCATAAACCTTTCAGTTTAAGAGAAATTTAGTGTGGGAAGTTTTAAAATTAATACCCTGTATAATAAATAACAAAATATCTAATAAATATTAATAAGTCTAATCATATGTTAACCCGTAAAGGTGGAGGGCCCTTTAAGCCCGCGGTCCGTTCCTACCCCTAACCCGCTCATGCCATTCAGTTGGCTTTTGGGACTTTTTAGAAAGTAAGGGTGGAACTAAAAGAGCACTTTTGTATATAACTTTTGTATATTTGTCCAAGGATGTAATTTCTTTGTGGTATTGCCAACTGTTACACAGTTTTACAAAAGTACGATGGACCTCATAAAATGGGTGGCATAAAAAATTATAAACGGTCCTCACTTGAATAGACAGATATACGGTCCTCACTTTGTTCTGATATACTCGAAAATATTTAAATGAACATTTTACGTGTATATTCTTTACCCACCTGTTACTAATTTAATATTAAGCGTAACTTAATATTAATTGTGTTTCTATTTTGACTCCTACCGGTCCTCATAATATACGTGCTAAGACAAGTCCTCACTTTGTATGCTGGCCAAATATATATATATATATATATATATATATATATATGTATATATATATATACAAAATTCTATCATTGCTGCGTCCATACATTTATAAAATCCCTATTCTTATTGCGTCAACGACCTTACTGCGACAGTATATCTGACGCACTAATGTCAAGCGCTTATTTCTTAAAATTTACTTCATCCCAGCACTTTCTAAGATTCTTGCTAATACAGATCTGTGTAGAATTTAATGCCCAATTTTTGTGTCCAAAAATTTTTTATGTCCGACCCTGCGTTTTTTAAATATTTAGAAAAATTTGAACACAAAAAATGTGCAGCAACATACTAAAAATGGAAAAAATGTGTATATTTAGTTCAACCCATTTGACGATGAGGGCGTTGCGATAATATACGTTTTTCAATATACGTGTTTTTAAATACTGTATGTTGTTGCGTCGCACAATTTGGCAACGTCTCGCCTATGATTTTAATATTCAAATATTAAAATCATTCAAATTATCTCACGATACTGTTGCGAATGGTAGCGCTGTCTCTCTCGCAACGTGTGACGTCAAGCTAGAGACAGTTGTTCTTTCGTTTAAATGTAATAATAATATTATAATCTTGGGGCGCGCGTCGAGTTTTATGAAATTTACAATTATGACGGTCGATTTATTAAAACTGATTGTAAGATAAAATTGTTTTCTACATAAGTAATTATGACAATGTATTTTTTAAATTATATATGCAGATGCAGATTTAAAGGCAGAAAAACGATTATCATTTTTTTACGCTTATAATTGTAAAAAAATTATCATCGTTTTTCTGTTAATTTTACTATTTCAAAAATAATAAAAGTTTTTCATGTTTTTAGATAGGTACTTAAAAAAAGGTTAATATCAATATAAATAACTACAATGTGTTTTATGTTATTAACAGGTAATTCAAAAAAAATTTAAAAAAGTAAAACATCAATGTTATAAATACAGGGTGTTTTTACTAAAAATTGACAATCTAAATTAGTCTTTCTAATAAATATTTTTAAATTGAGCTTTTGTTTTTGAATTATCAAACTTTGTTTTGATGTAAAACTTTTTATGTAAGTTATTTATGGGCGGATTAAAAAAAATTTGTTTTTAGTAAATTTTGAAATTTTTTCTTTAGTATCTTTAGTAGATTTATTACAGTTTTAACACAAAATAACAAAAACACAATACAAATTTGAATGTCTTATAATAATAATTATTATAATTTTAATTATTGTAATAATAATAATATTACATCATATTATAATAATAACATTACTAAACAAAATTAAACATAATAATATCATTAAACAATGCAGTAGCAAGTTAAATAAGTA